GCTGCTTCTTATATAGTACTCATACCCCATGCCCAACACCACTGCACTGCTGTCAACATCACTATTATGAGCCATTTGTCAATACGAAAGACAATGCAACACATTTACCTAGATGCTGGTCCACTTTCTTTTACCTTATGCTGTTACCAGAACTTTATATTTAAATAGATGGAGAAGTAGCTAGTTGTATATTTTTAGAGGAGAATGGACATTTTATTCCCTCCATGCTTTGGAAGACAGAATCTTCCATCCTCTCTCTCCCTCTCCCTCTGCCCTTCCCTTCCTGTTCCCTCCCTGCTTCTTCTCCCTCCCCTCCCCTTCCTGCTGCTTCCTCCTCCTCTTTCTTCATCTTCTCCTTCTTCTAATTATGTCTCCTTAACCACCCTACCCCCAAATAGTTAAATGAACACAATTAAATATGGTTAAAGTACAGTGAGAGTACATAATATACCTTACTTTCTCTGTCTTCATTCCCACATCTTCACCTTATCCTTGGTTGCACAGTTAATAGTTTTAATTCTGATTAAATATGATCTTTCTTTTCATGTAATTTCTACAGGTTTATTGGATCGACCACTTGTATTTATTTGCATTAAGGAGTGAAGAGGTAAAGTATTTTTGGTACAAAAAGTACAAATCTGGATTTTCCTTCACTGAGTTAAAAGTAATCATTTAATTCATCCTCAGACATAAAATATTTTTGTATGAATGATGTGCAAATCATATGTGGCATTTAATAATTTATACTTTGTAAGGACAGGATATGTAACTATTTTTCCACATACAGTTGTGTTCTTTAAAGTATGTGTCTTGTTCAGTGTAAATGTTGAGAGATACATAGTAAAAATCAGAAAAATCAAAAAACATTTGTGTTTCACCTAGTAAGAAAGCTAAAACTGTTATTTTAATAGTTTAGTAACAATTTCTGTCACTGCCATGAGATTGGTTTTATTAAGATAAATGAAAATTCTTCCTTCAGGGAAAAATGATGAAACAATGGCCATTTTCATTTCAAAGTACTTACTCCAGTAAAATACCTGAGTATTTTTTTAAAGCAGATATATTCTGTACCGTACAGAGAGCCTGAGTGCAATAAATCAAAATGTTTCTTATCTCTTGTTTGCCTTAATGATATTAGTATTCTCTAGGGTTGCTGAGTAAACAAAAAGTCTTTCCTTTCCTAACTGTGACTCATCTGTCTTCAAAGGGCAAAATAAGCTGCATATTGCCACAAAGTTAAACAGCCCTTTATTAAAATAATCAACCACTAAATGCTCTCTGAGTCAAAACACTTTCCTTAAAGCACAATAACAGGTCACATTCACTCATTCCACATTAGAGAAATAACATACAGTGGAAACAAAAAGTTTTGCCTGCATGGTGTTATCCTCACAGAATAAATATTGAATAAATGTTTTAAGAATAACACTTTGAAAAAGATAAAAACTTAACCTTTTCTGAGAGTCCACATGTCTCTTTCTATCCCTGATATTGGGCCAGTGAAAGAAGCCCTGGGAAACAGGAGCAGAAGCCCCTGTCTTGCAGGCAGGTGAGAATGAAGACAGGACACGGCGGTAGGGCTATCTGGCTTCGGAGGCTAAGATGTCATGAATGTGCAATGGGATGAAGAATGATAAATATAGGTAGATAAATACATGAGAAAGAAAGAGATAACAATAGAGAGAGAGAGAGAGATAGAAAGGAAGGAAGGGAGGGAGGGAGGAAGGAAAAATTTCAAACCTTTTGTATGAAATTATGGAGCTTTGGGCTTTTCTTCATTGTGTCTTCCAATGATAGGATGAGTTTTGTTTCAACATTAAAGGCAAGGTGCCAGGTTTCTTTCTAATCATTAAATGATTCTCATTTGACTATCTCTCATTGTTTTTCTAAACATGATCTCTGCCTTTGTCTTGCCTTTCCTACCTGTTTGGTCCCTGAGAACTAAGGACTCGTAGTAATGTCTGTCTTGTGAAGACCAGGTGCCAACAAGTGTCTTTGTTACCAGGCTCTCCAGTTTAACTGTTCATCATCTGAGACAGAAGATGGGCCTTTCTGTAAAGTCAGGCTCACTGCATTTCTCCAGTGACCTGGAGTCCCCTTGGCTCCTACTGAACAAAGTTCAATGTCAGATTCCTAGCATTACATTCAACACCCTCCTGATGTCTCAACGTTTTCTGAATGGACCCTCAATGCTAGCTGGGTCATATCCTCAGCATACTACATTAATTCTCCTTTATTTGCCAGAAATGGCTTCCCCTTTCTTCTTTACATAGGTATCTCTGCCTATGTTTCTCAGACTGTGTTCCACATTTTCCACAAAACCCTCCATGACCCACCCCTCCAACACAGGGCTCTTGAATACATTAACATTCCTGTATTTACAGAGAACTAGTTTAGAATTGTTTTACTTAAAATTCTCTTCTAACAGAAAGTTAAAGCATTAGAAAGAGTATACTTATTTTTTTTTATCTGTAGGACAAGGGTTAAAAGAAAACATGTAACACCAGCACAGTAGCCAGTATATTAACAATAGGTATTAAATAAATGGGTCATTCATTTGCTAAGACTTTATAGAGACATTAACTAGGTTTTGAAAATACTGATATCAAAGACACATTCTTTGCCCTGAGGGAACTCACAGTCTAGTAAGAAGACAGGCAAATTGATGGTTCCCTTATAGCATGAGGATTATTGCTTTATATGCAGGTACAAGGTGCTAAGTGAGCAGGTGGGGGGCCATACCTAACCTAGAGTGTCAGATAAGCATCTCCATGGGGGGGGGTGACATGGACTGGTTCTTAATGGCTTGTAAGGATGGTGGCAATATATAGTGAGGAGAAATGGAGGTTCAGGCAGTGAAAAAGTACACAAAAGAGAAGGAAGGATGCTTCTGAAGGTGTGTAGGTAATATGGTAAGGCTGGCGCAGAAGCCTATGGGAAGTGGGGAAGGAGATACAGAGGGAGGCCACAGTTACTGCAACAAAACCCCAGAGAGTACTTGCATTTAGAATGATAACACCAGTATTTGAAAGGCTGAGATATGAAGATACACATTTATTCTGTAAAAAATTAATATCTACAACCAGAATCAATGGGTAAGAGCCAAAGAAATAAAGTCTTGGTTGAGAATAAGAAATAACATTCTAGCACCTGAAATGAAATGAATAGACACAGCAATAATAATGACAGCAACATTGAAAATAGATTCCTAGTTTTTATCAGATATCCTTATGTGAGGGATACACGTTAGGCAGTATGAATTTTTTTCTTTTGTTGGATGAGAATAAACTTCCTTCTGAGGCTGTGAGCATTCCAGCCCAAACAGGCAAGCAGAGGCTAGACTACATTTAAAATCTTTCTCTTTTCCTGCATTCCTATTACACAGACTATATACACAACTGGCCATATATTGCCTAGTAACATTGGTTAGTACACAAAAATGGTGTACATGTATTCAGTGATAAATGAATGCAAGTTACATTAATTAATACTCATATTGCATAGGGAGTGACTTTGCACTGTCATGTAAACACTGCTGCCCACTCCAAGCTCACACAGTGCGCTTTCACCCGAAGCTGGCGGTTTGGTCTTATCTCTTTGTCCGTCCACCCTGACCGTGATTAACAGTCAATTGCAGGGCAACAGTAACCTAAAAACTAACATGAATTTACTTCTATAGTAAAAGAATATGGAGAGATGGACATTTGTAACTAAGAAATATTCCCATCTGTCCAGCCTGGCGTAAATCAGGCTCCAAAGGCTTATCTTGGCTGTCACTCTCGGGTCTGCTGTCTTGGGTCGTTGGCTGCCCTTGTATTTCTCTAGAGAACTTTCCTTTTCTCCACTGCATCTTGAGTTTACCCAAATATTTTAGGGTAAAAAGCATACAGCGTCCCTGTGTGTTGCTGTCCTCCTTGGGATCTGCTGCTGAAACATTCTGATGCGGGAGGAGGGAGTATACGAAAGACAAAACTGGGTTCAAAGGCCCTTCCTAACACTTCCTGCCTGTGTGGTTGGAGACAGGTTACATAGTATCTCCAAGCCTCAAGGTCGTTTATAAATCAGAATAATTGTATCTCCTTTGCACTCATTTTACGATGCATTTGATAACACATTTTACTTAAATTACAAAATTCTTGGCCCCAAACTAATGCTTTGCTATTGTGCAGCCTTTAGTTGTTGCTAGCTTGCATCATAGGACCTGTATTTTCCCTAAGCTTCTGGGATATTTTCTTTCCACAGATGTTTTCTCGTTGTGAGGTTTCTTTTTGAAGGCTTTACTCCCTTTTCCTCTTTTTCAGATATATAAGGCTTTGATCACTCTCATTTTAAAAATATTTTACATGTATATATATCAACAGAACTCCCTCTCTCTGTGTTTTCCCCTCTTAACTTTTATAGGTTTCTGACAACACAATAGCCTGCTGATTCATACTCTTATTCCAAAGGTCTTATGGTAGTTTGCAGTTAAGAAAACTCCTGCTTCAAGTATTCAGTAGTGAAGTGATATTATCCTGTTAATCTGAGATTGATTCATTTCTTGGGCACTTACTTTGCTTCAAGTACAGTCTTCTGCCCTGTGGGTGCCGCAGTGAACAAATCCCCTTGCTCTCACGACTTACAGCCTAAATGAAGTGTGATGAGCAAATTTCTTCCACATTTTCATTGCAAATCAGACACTCTTCCTGCTTTGCTTATATTCAACATCAGCCCCCTCCATATGTCTCTGCCAGATTTTACCCTCAGGAGAGAAACATGTTAACATCAATTATCCAGAAACAGTATTATTATTATTTGAGCCTAATATGAAAGTTTGTGCCCTGCTACTTTTCTCAATATGCACAAAAAGTTGAAAATTTAGAATGCTCCCTTTTCTCCCAAAAGTAGGGCTACTATTTAGTGACAATATTAGCAAAAAGTGGAGACAAATATTAGCAAAAAGATTACTATGTTGTGATTCTGTGCTTTGTATCAGTAGAAAATTTTTGAATTGTACTCACTCAAATTGTAAGACTCTTGAGTTTTTATATTCATTTTTCAGATTACTTGATTGAAAGATTTCATCTATCTAAAAAAAAGGTTAAAAATCATATTAAGTTTAAGATTTAAACTTTTGTTCTTAAAAACTTTAAGCAAAGTAATCTTTATGTTCTGTTTAGATCTAGATTAAGGATAATTTCCATTTCTGTGGTGATGGGTCTCACACATTTATGCTTCTTGGGCATATTACATTTACTAATTTTTTCAAAGTGAGAAAATGAGATCTATGTATCTTTTGGCAAGTAGTTAGTGAAAACTATGTTATGAATTTTTAAGCCAGCTCAAGAGAAACAGTCTCCTACCATTTGATGAAGGTCAAAAGCAAGAATCTTGAAATCCACTGAGAGTTTGTCTTGCAAATTAGGATTATATGTTGCTCCAGATGTTATTTTCAATGTCCCTCTGGCTTTGTGACTTCTTCCAAATACTGCATCTAAATGAATTAATAAAAATTAAAACATTAAAATGTGAATCATGAAAAGAGATGATATATACATTCCAGTAAAGACATAAGAGTAAAGTTCTTGCTTCACACCAGATGCCTTTTTTTTTTTCTATCTGGTTGTTTTACAGGATTAAAAATAAATTTCTTTCTTATCCTCTTTTTTTTTAATTTTCTCTGAAGTCTAACTGACACTCCAAGCCTCCAAGTTCTTTTATTATTGATTCCTGTTGGACCATACAAGGATGATCAACTTCCACTAGCTTGGGCACTAATTCAGGGAAACATGGTGACGAATGGACCATTAAAAGTTCTGTGGCTGCTTTCAGCTACTTCTTGAACACCTAGCCTTCAGGGGCACTGTTGGTTTCTACATGTGGACTGCTATGAAAATTTCAGTATGTGTTACTTTGAAACATAGATTTGAAGCTACTCTTTCATTATAATAATTATTAAATTGCCATGTATGACATTTTGCCATTAGATGGTGACTATTGTTACTGGAGAAATTATTGATAATGTTGCAGAAAACATATGACTTCCATATGAAAAACTGTAAGGAAAAAGCAAACAAACTGAATATAAATATGGATAATAAAATGAATCATTAACTCCTACCCAATATCTTTATCAGAATATTTTCTTTGATATATATTTATATTTAAAATGAAATGCTTCTACTGAAACTCACACAATGATGAAATCATTAGTAAATGTAGTAATAATGATACATAATTCTCACATTAACTTGGTAATAGAAGATGTTACTTCTTTTCCCAGATGGGGAAATTAGGGCTTAAGTTTAGTAAGAAAATGATAAATGTCATGAGTGACAAACCTGGAATTTGGATATAGAACTAAATGACTTGAGAACTCAGGACCCGTCACATAATGACACCAAAATGCCTAGTCCAGAAGGAATGTTAGAAATAATATTTTAAACAATAACTTGCATTTAGTTTAAATAGTTATCATTGCATAGTTGATATAACACATAATTATACTATTTCATGTTTTTTAAATACTAAAGATTACATTCAATTTGCATATTTAAACATGAAACACAATTTAGTCTCCTCCAATCCAGGACAGTTCCTCAGACTTTCCTTGTCTTTCATATTGAAAGCCTGAGGAACTTCACAGATTGGAGGAGACTAAGGAAACCATAACCAGTGGTATCCACACTGGATCCTGAACAGGTAAAGGAAATTACTGGAAAAACTGGTGAAATTTGAATAAAGTATGTGATTCAGTTAGTAATCATGCCAATGCTAATTTCTTCGTTTGACAATTGTCCTATAGATATACAAGATACTGACATTAGGGGAAACTGGGTGAAGATCATACAACTCTACAATTTTTATAACCTCTTGTAAGTCTAAAATGATTTCCAAGTAAAACAGTGTATATTAAAAGCAGGATGTCTTATGTCCTCTTATGCTCTATTGTTCATATAATCATATAAAATATCCACAAGTATTCTTTCTCTTTAAAATACACCCCTCATTTATGGCTATAGTATTTCAATAAAACAGGGATTATATTGGAATTATTTTATAAAACTATAAATAATATTTATTACATTCTAATTTAAGCTTATTTATTTACTAGCAGAAAATAACTAACTCAAAGGCTGAGAATTTGCTTGGTAAAACCAAAATCATTCATATTAAAAGGTGTAAACATGTGAGTTTCCAGAAGAATTAATTTATCATTTAAAAAATGTGAAAAGAATAATCATTTAAAAAATGTGAAATTTTTCTAGGAAAAAAATAAACTCAATACACAGATTACAACTATGCTTCCAATGTAAAAAAAAGTTATCCTATAAATGAATAAATGGTAAAGAAGAACAAGCTCTAAAGTTCGATTATCTAGTTTGGAATCTTCTACCACCTAGCAATGATGCAAATTTAAACAAGTTACTTAAATCTCTGTCTCTGATTCCTCACCTATAAATGATGGTTACAATAACTTACTCATAGTTTTCTTGTAACAAGAGAATACATTTGAAGATCTTTGAAAAGTTGTTGGTACAGATAATTTGGCTCTAAATAACAATTACGTTTTCTTATTTTTTTCTGTTTATTACAAATTGCTACTCAGGCAGCTTGAGAACTTTTAAGTCTACAATTACATCCAAGTTCCGTTATCTTGTTGCAATTCAAATTGCTGGACTGATAAAGGAATGAAGATATTCTCTAGAAATAAATACCTTTTCTTTAATTTTGCCTACTTATCAAATTGTAAGTCAAAAACATTTTAATATGTTTATCGTTTAAATTCTATCAAAATGAACCCATAAGTTATGAAACCCACTTTGTTATATGTTGAAAATGAGAAACTTACTTAATGTTTTTATATTTTAAAACTTAGTCCGGTGATTGAATTCTGAACTGAATTCCAAATCATACACCAACTAATCTTTCTAGTATCTATGAAGTGAAGTACGACAAAGTGTCTGAATGCAATGTAAATATCTTGTCACGAATGCATAGCAATGAATAAAACATGCTGGCACTATCACCAAGATTGAAGTGCGGGCGTTCATCCGAGAGTGCCTTCGGTAGCCAGCAAGGCGTGACTTACCTCTTTCTGATCCCTCAATTACCAGCCAAGACACTGCAAATAATCCAGCAAAGAGCAACACCAGTATGGCAAAGAGAGTTGCAAACAGGGATTCATAGGTGCTGAGGGAATGGGGCCTTGAAGGTCCCCTTCTTTTTGAAGCCATTTTTTGCTTTGAAGGGATGTTAATAATCTAACTGGGGGAAAATAGAGAAACAAACAGAAAGGGAAGAACAAAATCTCTCAAGTTTTCAGGGATTTGTAAATCAACCACATAAGTCTGTACTCATCTTACTAGTCAGTGTGAATGATTTGGGTGTGTACCTTCGGCACCAATATGTCTATATACATTAACTTCAAAAGAGCAGGTAATCTGTAAGAACATATTAATGAGTAAAGATGTACTTAGAGTTGTAAATGTTAGTCAGCTGAACAAGCCATTTGTAGAGATTTATGAAGTTAAATGCATGTTGTAAACAAAACTGACACTTTATCATTTTGAGAACTACTAGGAAACATGAAAGCCATGGAAGACAAAATGTTAATTAGGCGCATGCACTTTGTATTTATAGAGACGCCCAAACAGATCAACCTTTTACCCTCTGACTCAGGTCATCATTATGGCATTTCTCCTCTTCTATGTATGTGTTGACATTCTAAAAATAACTTTTATGCACAGGTATTTATAAGCCTAATATACATACTGATATGTACATCTCTCTAATTCTCCCTCTCTCCCTCCCACTCGTCCCCTCTCTTTCTTTATGTGTGTATGTGTATTTCTTATTGAAACAATCACAAATTTTTGTAATCTTCATTATACCACCCATGTGAAGTTACACAATGTAAGGTGGTATTGATTTAACTTAAAAAAGTCCACTTAAAAACATCATATGGCTACTTTTTATGGCCTCATGCAGTTATCAATGAATGGGAATAACTGGTATGAGAGGAATGGAACATTTGTTTCTCTTTTAAGAAATCATTCTGGGTGGGGAAAACATTGCTCACTTTCTCTGAACTTTATCTTTTTAAACATGCCATTATAACAAAAGAGTAGGTTAAGACCACACTCATACCTGCAAACCTATGCTTTATGGAAAAATCGACTCTTTTCTGATAATTAAGACACAGTTTACCATCAGAACTTCTACACCTTAAATCACAATGAGTCAAGAATAAAAAATTAATAAATAAAACCACACCTAATCTGAAGTAAACAATGTGCCTCATTTAGGCAAATAAAATTGGCCAGAAATAAGAAAATCCTTGATCACAGCCCTGAATGTACCACAATTATGGCAGGGTATAATTGGCTGCAATAAACAGTGCCCACTTTTCTTTCTTCTTTTTTACCCTAGAAAGAAGATAATTGCATCAGACTCTGAAATCCTTGCTGATAAAACATAGAATATAAATAAATAAATGCAAATCATGGAATATATTTAGATATTTATTTAATTTAATAATAGTTGTATTGTTACACACTTCAAAGTAAATATTAAACGAGATATACTAATGATGGAATTGGGAGAGGTCCATTTTACTTATTTTGTAGGAAAATGATTCTAGAACATGCCAGACCCTCCTGTAAAACGAGAGCCTTGAGAGTGACCTTTGAATTTTGGGAGCCAAGAAATGCAATGTTTCTTCATTACGCTAAGTGCAGATGCAACTGCTTTTAGAAAATCAAGTAGAACTTTGTTATATTTCTTTTGACTTAATATAAGGGAGGGAGAATATAGCAAAATGAGTTCACATACTCTGCTTTAAGTACAGGGTAGTATATTAAATAAAGATTAAACCAAGAATTGTATAATTAGGCTCATAAATGAAATCAGCACCCATACTGTATCCTCAAGTTATGTTCTAAGTAATTATAGTTAATATTTTTAAATACATGAGTGGAAGAATAGCTTTCTTAGAAAGAGGCAACAATTTATGAAGGTCAGACTAAAAGAAAACAAGTCAATGTGCAAAAGAACAAATTACATGTCTTGCAATTTTTAAAAAGTTACTAAACTAAAATGGAACTTGCCCTATTAGATGACAAAACTCACTACAGAGCTATAATAATGAACAGTGTGTGATACTGGTCCACAAGTAGAAAAATATCTCAGTGGAATGGAATAAAGAGCATGCAATCTGATTCACATATGGAAACTTCATATATCAAAAATATAATGTTACTAATAACAGCCAATGAAGGATGGTTGTTCAGTAATGATGCTAAGTTGGCTGTTTACCTATCTCAGGATAAATAAAATTAGATCCTTATCTCACACAATGAAGAAAAATAAATTCCAGATGGATTAAGTATGTATAAAAAGTACAGAAAAATTTTGAAGAAAATGTAGAAAGATGTCTTTCTGATCACAGGGGACTGAAGGAGTTTTTAAAGAAGAATTAAAATATAAAAGGACAGACTAGGAAGAAGAGTATCAATCAGTGCAATATAGCTGATAATAACACTGAGTTTTTTTAAAACAATAGCTATTAAAAAAGAAATTAAAACCTTGAGACACACACTAGATTTTTTCCTTTTTTTTCCTTTCTTTTTCTTTTTTACTGTGGATGTTTAAGTTTGGCTGCAACAGAATACAACCAAGGCAAAGATTTTTACATGAGTTTCTCAAATGTGTTTGAGCGGTAACCCCAGGAAAGTCCATGAGAGGAAGTGGAAAATGAAAAGAAGGAAAATAAAGCCAGTGCAGGCTGTATAATCAAGCCAGTTACCACGGTAGGCTCAGAAACCTCGTCCTCTGGGCTCTGGGTGAGGCAGTGAGAAAAGTCCTCAGAGTTACTCCAGTTAAGGAATAAGGAAGCAAGGATATTTATTCATCAAATAGCATGCTCACCAGTTCAAAGTGTCTACTCAGGCTTTAATTCTTGTAATTTTAGCTTGGCCTGAGTGGGTAGAACACTCATGGAGAGCTAATGACATCCTGCAGAGATGAATGAGCACATGGAAGGACCCTTTCACAATTTACAGCTGTAAACCACTTCCCAGGACTTATAAAGAAATTCTGCTAATTAACACATAAAAAGCAAACAGCAAGCAATTAACAGAAACACAACAACAAACAAAAAAGAACAAATCATGAACCCATGAATATCTGTAGGTCCTCAGCTTCAGTAGATGTTCAACTTTAGCAGTAATCATGGAATTCCAATTAAAATAAAAATGCCCTCAGTTATACTAGCAAAAATTAATAATCTTAGCATTACTAAGTGGTGGTATTCATTGCTTGTGAAAATGAAAATTCAAATTGTCATGTTGAAGACCAAGTCAGTAATATCTAACAAAACTAAATCTGCACTAGCTGACCCCCAAATTCCTCTTCTAGCTATAAATTCAAGCTATAGAACTCCAGCACATGCAGGCAATGAGACAATATTCATTATAATATTACTTTAAGGCCCACAAAATACAAAGAAAATATGTGTTCATTAATGAACTGCAGTATTTTTACATAAAAAGTGTTTACAGAAGGATTAAAGAGGCCAGCATGAGAGGAGAGACAGAGGCTTCCCCTAAAACTGGATACAATTAGAAAATATAGTTGGCGCAACTAATCCTGAGAGAGCAACAGGAAAGTGGACTACACCAGACTGCATACACCTGGAGAAAAGA